TCTTACACGTCCAATGATAATTGAAGCCAGGAGTATGCTGAATAGAATGGTTGATGTAAGATGAGAGTACATCCATGCAAATCACAAACAAGAAAGGGGATAAAGGGTCCCCTTGCCTGAGCCCTCTAGCTCCTCTGAAGTAACCCACAAGCTCTCCATTAATAGAAATAGAGTAGGAAGGTGTGGAAATACAAGCTCTGACCTAGTTAATAAACACATCAGGGAAGTTGAGGATGGTTAAGGTATCAATTAAGAACTCCCAACTGATAGAATCATAGGCTTTTCTGAGGTTAACTTTCAATGTACACTTGGGAGGGGAGGCTGAGGAGTGGTAGCCTTTTAAAAGTTCCTGGACAATGAAGAAATTATCACTAATTCTTCTGCCTTTTATAAAGGCAGTTTGACACTTGTCAATGGTAGGGGGAGTAAAGGTTGGATTTTCTTAGCAAGCAATTTAGATATGACTTTATAGATGGTATTGCAGCATGAAATGGGTCTATAGTTAGCCATGGAGGAAGGGTTGGGGACTTTGGGGACAAGAGAAATGATTGTTGAATTAACCTCTTTCAAAAGTTGCCCATTGATGAAGAATTCTTTGACAGCCATGGAGACATCCTCACCAACAATATGCCATGCCCTCTTGAAGAAAAGGGCATTGTGCCCATCAGGCCCAGGGGCTTTAGAGTTCTTGAGTGAGAAGAAGCAGTTCTTAATCTCCTCCATAGAAGGTAACCTGCTAAGCTCCTCAAGGTGTGAAGTGGGAGTAGACTTGCAAAATTTGGCGTTAATAGTTTGTAGACCAGGGTAATGGCTGCCTCTACTCCCAAGTAAGTTCTTGAAAAACTCAACTGCTTCAGTCTTAATAGCCGGTAGAAAGTCAGTAGTCTCACCATTGGCAAGGGTGAGACTAGTAATCCTCTCCCTATAGCAATTGTTATTAAAAGAATTCATAAAAAAACTTGTGTTTTGGTCCCCATCTTTCAACCAATTAACTCTGGCTTTTTGAAGGAAAAACTTCTCCTCAGCTTTAGAAAGTTCAATATATTCATTAAGGAGACCCTTCTCAGAGCATCTAAGGACTTCATTTGAAGGATCAGAGTCAAGAGTCTGACAATTGTGGAGGCCCTCTTTGGCTGCTATAACCCTTTGAGAGATCTCACTGTAATGCCTAGTATTAAGCTGCTTCAATTTGCATTTAAGCATTTTCAATTTCATTACCACCTGAAACATGGCAGTACCATTTACCTGTTGAGACCACACAGAACCCACAGTGTCCAAAAAATCCCTGTGATCAGCCAAAAAGTTAAAGAATTTGAAAGGGTATCTCTTCCTTAAAGAACTGGTACCACATTTAACCACCATTGGAGAGTGGTCTGAAACACCATAGGGCAAGAATTCGCAAGAAGACATAGGAAAAGAAGAGGTCCACATGTCATTGATGAGGACCCTGTCTAGTTTTTTAGTAATGTTAGCCACTCCAGGACTCTTATTTGTCCATGTGAACATAAGACCAGTGAATCTAAGGTCGACAAGTTTAGACGTATGAATGCAATCATTAAACTCATTGATGCCAGCATTCCACCTACTGGAACCCCCAAAATTCTCATTAGGGTGCCTTATAATGTTAAAATCTCCAAGGATAGCCCAAGGAGTATGGTTGACCATAGAGGCATGAGCATTAATATTAGACCAAAGCCTTCTCCTAAGCTGAGCAGTGTTGTACGCATAGACAATAGAGATATAAAAGTGAAGATGATCCTCCACTGTGGTGATGCTGCAGTGGATAACCTGGTCAGTATCAGACATTTTGTGAACTTTAAGGACCTTAGGGTTGAACAAAATCAAAATTCTACCCAATGCTGAATGGGAGTAATTATGAATACTGTGCCAAGAGGGAGCAATTCTATTATGGACAGATGGGATATTAGACTCCTGAATTTTAGTCTCAACGATGGCCACCAACTGTAAAGAGTGCTCAGAGATGAGCTTTTTAATCTCAATTTGTTTTTCCGGGAATTGAGACCCCTTATATTCCAAGCTGCAAGATTCATTAACAACAGGTTTGAGGATCTAAACCTTGGGAGCCTGTGATTGGCTGGTTGGGGTCATTGTCACCCTTCTTCTTCTTCTTTTTCTTTTTCTTCAGCTTGCTTCCCTCCTCTGAAACGTCTTCATCAACATAGGCATCAGTTGTGGAACGTGAATAACTGGATTGGGAGATTGGTAAGCAAAATGATTGATTCTCATGAGCAGAGGTTGTAAGGGCATGGTTCATAACAAGAGGATAATCCCCAGCATCATTGTTGGCCACTGTACTTAAAACATTGGATGTGGTTGCCTGGAGGGAAGTACCAGTTGGTGAGTGGTGAAGAGGGACCACATCATCCACTCTGGTCATCTGGGTAGTCATCACATCTTCACTCTGTTGGCCAAGAGGGGGTAATTCTCCAAGGGAGCCTGTGATTGGCTGGCTGTGGTCACAGTCACCCTTTCTTTTCTTCTTTTTCTTTTTCTTCATCTTGCTACCCTTTTCTGAAATGTCTTCCTCAATATGGCCATTAGTTGTGGAGCAAGAACTGATAGAATGAAGGACAGGTAAACTACATGATTGGTCCTCATGAGCAGAGGTTACAAGGTCATGGTTCGTAGAAGGGGGGTTATCCCCAACATCATTGTTGTCTAATGCACTGAAAACATTAGATGTGGTTACCTGGAGGGACGTACCAGTTGGTGAGTGGTGGAGAGGAACCTCAACATCAACTTTGGTCATTTGGGTAACCATCACTTCGTCACTCTGTTGGCCTGAGGAGCCATCAATAATGGTAGCACCTGCATCATTTCTCATATCATTCCTGATGCCCTTCCTTTTGTTGACTGGAACCCAATCTTGCTTAGGGATAGGCTGGGGCGTACACTTAGAGATGATATTAATTGTGGGGCATTTGGAATCTAGATGGCCAAAACATAAGCATGCTGAACAAACTAGGGGCTTCCATTGGAACTCAGCATCAATATCGATAATCTCGCCTGTGGGGAGCTTAAAATTGAAGTGCTCCACCAGAGGGCTTGAAGCATCAACTTCTACACATAATCTGGCATAGCTAATTCTCCTCTTGGACTCAATTAGCTCATCCGTAAACAAAGGTCTTCCAATAGCACTAACAATGTAACAGAATCCCCTAGCAGTCCAGTATTCAAATGGTATGTTGTAGAATTTGATCCATAGAGGGATAAGTTTGCAGGACTCCTTAGTTAGCACCATTCCCTTCTCCCATTTCTTGAGGATGAGAGGCCTCCCTGCCACCAAGCAAGGACCATTGGATAGGACCATGTCACACTCTTTTTGAAGACTAAATTTGAAGATGAAGAAACCCTTCCCATCAGTAAGAACTTCTTGGAGACCAAGGTTTCCCCACATTTTCATAGCGACATCTCTGACCATTGAGTAGGGAAGTTTCTTCTGAATAAAGTAACCAACTAAGGAGGGTTTCCATTCCTCCACTCCATCTTCAGCAAGGTCAATTGGAGGATCAACCAAGATAGTGGAATCATTTCTGACAGTGGGAGGGAAAAATTGAAAGATCATCTTTAGAGCAGATCTCTGGTTGCCAACTATAATATTGGCCCAAGTGCTATGCGTGACTCGAGGCGAGCTAGAGCTAGGAATGGTATGGTCACATGGAGGAGGTATGATAACAGTGTTATTAAGACTATTTTGGTGAATAGGATGTGACTGCTCACATGGAGGCCATGCCACCTTTTCAGAAGATTGGTTGGGGTTTGACTGAGATAAGGTGGGGTTGTCCACTCTCCCAGGCGGCGCGTGTGAAACATGGGTGGTGGAGGATCCATGTTGGTTCATCCCCCCTCTTTTGGCTCCTGCAAAAGAGCCTCTACCCCTTTCTCCTAGCATAAGAGGTGGAGGTTCAAAGTTAAGGATTGTTTACCCCCTCTGTGAGTTTCTCCAGGGGTGGAGCTTTGGCCATGTTGCAAAGCAAACTCCAATGTAACAATTCTCTCTCTAGCTTTTGTCAACTCCATATTGGCATTGGCCAATGCTTTTGCCGGGGCCTCAGCAACAATCCTCTTGGCCAGAGCAAGAGCTCTACTATCCAAGGATTCCTCAAGGGCATCAACATTTCCTTGGGTAATGGGGATGTTCTCCATGGTTAGGTGAGACCCAAGCATGGTGTGTAAGAGGTTAGGAGGGCAATGGGTAGGGGGAAGGAAAATGTTCAATCCAAAGAGTGGTGAGGGTTCAGGTAGAGGTCACGGGCATACATCCATGGTGGAGGCCATGACTTACAGGGAATCATGGTGGGCGCAGAGTGGAAGGAAGGTAAGGAGGGAATCTATTAATCTTTTTTCTTTTTTCTTTTTTCTTTTTTTAACACATCATTGTCCCATTGTAGTCTCAACCCTAAAAATTCTATTTGGGTTCCTTATGAATCTTCAATCACATTTGATCGACTCGATCAACTATTAGACCCTTTTTTTTTAACACCATGCCCAAGTTAAGGGACTTGCACTAAAACCTTTTTTATAAATTTATTTTGAATTTTATTATTTATAAAGCAAATTTAATACACCAATGGCCTTTTGTAGCATAATGTATTTTCTCTACTTTTCAAAAAGCAAAATGGGTGCATTGAGTTTCTTACCAATTACCAAAGAGAGAAAAAAAAAAACGTAATATTGATGGTGACGGTTCATGTCTTAGGTTAAAATTGTTTCTTTTATTACACATCCTCTGCACCCAGGTTGTTGATGGTGACGGTTGATGTCTTAGGTTAAAATTGTTTCTTTTATTACACATCCTCTGCACCCAGGTTGGGGCCGATACTATATAGGTTAAACAAATTAACAAAGCTTAAAATTTCATAAATGCCACTAGCTTTTGCTCTAAAATATCACTTTCTGGTTTTGCTCTGATACCACTTTGTTGGAAATAGTGGCCTAGATACACACAATACTCAATAATATTTTGGAAGAGAATGATATGGAGGAATACTTGAATAATTATTTTATTCCACTTCTAATTCATATTCTAAAATAACTAAAATACATGATTATATAGGCATCACATATGTATGCATAACCATTACATTTAAAGGCCTACTTACACTCATTATTCCTACTAACATAACCATTAGTAGCATAACTTGCCCTAACATAGTATTTAAGAAACTTAATTCCCATACCTCTTAGTCTTACATAACCTTCTTCATCAAGACTATTTACTACCCCACTAACATGAAATGCACACATGCATCATGTATACCAAATACTTGAAAATACAAATTACAACTAAAATTCTAAAATCAAGTTTATTTTCAACACACTAAAGCTTCAAGCAGAGGTGACCAATTGATTTTCAGTGGAGGCTGGGGGCTCTAAAACACCAAGTCGCCTTCCACATTCCACACTGTCATCTAATATCTTCTTCATATCATATTTGTTTTCAAACCCCTCTTTCATAAGCTTTGTAGGATCACATCTGCTTCCTCTTTCTGCTCCACCCATGAACCTAATGTCAAACCCATGTCATTATAATTATACAGATTGACTTTTTAAAAATTTCACTTATTTTTTTCACTGAAGCTTGAAATTTCATTAGAGAAAGGAAAAATATATATCTTCACATCACTATATAATGTTTTCTTGAATCTTCAAAAAAAAATATTAAATATGGATAATATTGTGTTATGAGTAGTCGTGGTTGTTGCGGCTACACAACATCAGCCTTTGAATCTTGTGATCGTGTTCCAACTTAGGCCTCACAGATTTAATAGTTGATATTGTATGGTCGCGACTATTATAAAAGTTCGATTCAGACTTCAATCATAATAAAACTGAAGAAAAAAAAAAAAAAAAAAAAAAAATCTTACTCTTGTGATATCTTGAATTCGGGATAGGTTTCTTCGTAGTAATTTGCCATTTCTCGGATGGTCGGATCGGTTGCGGCGCATATGAATCTGCCTTTAAGTGATGGTCTCTCCATGCAGAATATATGTGCTTCACAAACATCATCAATGTGTATCAGAGGAACTGAACCTGAAAGTTCTTGCATACAACATAGTCCTTGGTAAATAGAGTGATTGCCGGTAAGCTGTGATATGGTCACGTCTAAGCTTAATGGCAGGTACGAAAGAAGTGTATCTCCTGCTACTAAACCACAAGTCAGGGATACAACTTCTAATCTACCATTTTCAATCTCATTATACCTCAATACCTCTTTCTCTGCTAATACCTTTGATTTTGTATAACCCTGCATAGGACATACCACCAATAATATATAAATATAATTTAACTTTTGACTCATAATTATATTATATGGGTGAACTATATAAAAACAAAACGAAACGAAAATCACGGTTAACATTTATTTTTTGGCAGTACATTAGCCCTTGTAAATTAATTTGTTTACAGGGTTAATATTGGATGGTATGTCCAACCAATAAAGATTGAATCAAATTAGTCTCACTTACACATAAAAACTACTCTATAAGTTGTGATTTCGTAACTTAATTTACCCCAATGAGTCCACAATGATAGTTTACTATTTATAGGTTCAATGGAAGAAGGTCAAATTGATAAATTATTAGTTTAAGATTAAAAAAAAAAAAAACAAACAATGGAAAATGAAGAAATTAATGGCAATACTAATATTTTAGAGTTTTGATTGTGTGTTGTTATTGCCAATTATATATGAACTTGTGAAAAACAAGGAAATAGTTTATTTATAGAGAATTTATATATTTGAAACCCAATAAAAATAAAATAAATAAAGAAGCTTTTCACGATTAAGTTAATGGGTAAAATAAGAATGTCAAATAATGTCAAATAAAAATGCACTTCTTTCACGCAAAAATATTATTTTCCTGTTTGAGAGAAAATAGGAAGTATGTAAAACAAAATTTTCAACGTTCTTTTACCATCTATCCAAACTCCCAAAAAATTTAAAAATTTTCTTCTTCTTTTGTCTTCTAGTTGATTCCACCTAATCATCTCATTTTTCTTTCCTTTTTATTTTCTTCCTTTCTTTTCCCTCTCCTCAAAATTTCTACTTCTTGCACTCATGTATGATGTATGTGCAATAACATTTTTTTCTCTCATTTTTCTTTAAATTTATTCTTATAATTTTGTGAATTTAATATCCCTATTTTATGTTTTGAAACTTTTCTTTATTGCATTTTTTTTTTGGCAAATAACGATATATTATTTTGAAATTACTATACCATTACTACATTCCTATCTTCCAAATTGTTGTCTTGCAATATTCTTCCAAATTGTTATCTTGCAATATTGTTAGTCGGTGTATTAGTTTGAATATATATATATATATATATATATATATATATATATATATATATATATTTTATTCATGTTCATATGCCCGTTGACTTAATTTTCTAACTCCGTCCCTTATCCTAGTTGGGATACCATATAATCACTGCAGAGCATATGAACCGTCTCAAATACCCTCAATTTTATTTTATTTTATTTTTATTATTATGATTATTTGTGTGCGCCGCCCATGGATTGATTTGGAACATTAAAAAAAATTACAACAAAATCCTACTAAAACGATTGATGAAGAGAATTAATGAGTGAGTGATGAAGTATGTACCATCATAAACTCATTTACGCTAGTATATGAAAGGTTAAGAGGAGTCCAACAAGACTCGTTCATTGAAGATCCATAGCCACTCCCATCTTCTTTGAATGGCGATGACGCTGTCACAGATGCGGTGTAGATGAGTCGCTTCACCGTCTGCGATTTGATGCAATAATCAGCTATGCTTCTCACCCCTGAAACAGCAGCTTCAACACTACCCTTGTACTGCTTAATTCATGAAGCCAAATTAGCCAATTGATCGAATATTAGTCATAACCAAATCCATCCAAAATTTCTCACAAAATATATATAACTTCATTATGAGAAAATTAAGGCGGCAAACAAATAATATGAATGACCTGAGAGGTGTGGATAGTGTGTAGCATAGGGGTAGCCACATGGAAAACAAATTGGCATCCTTTAATTGCATTTTCAAACTCATCGGATTTGTATAAATCAGCTTGGAATAACACCAATCTGGTGTCTGCGTTTGGGAGGGACTTTAAAAGGCCTACCTTTGTTGTGTCCTCTGCAACAAAAATTAATAATTTAAAGCCAATGAAACATATATATATATATATCTAGAGAGAGAGAGACCTAAGTTTCTTAGTGTTGCATGGACAGTGTGGCCTTTTCCCAATAGCTTCTTAACAAGCCAAGAACCTATGTATCCGGAACCTCCCGTAACACAAACTTTACACTCTCTGTTGCTATTCTTCTCCATTGATATTGAGCTCTTTTTTCTCTTTCTTCAAAGTGCAGTTTTCTTTTTTTCTCGTGTGGTGGTTTTATCATGATCATTAATAGCTAGCTCCTCCACCACTTCTTTTCCACTTCCCATTTTTAGAAGGCGTTTTCATTGTCCTCTTTTGTTTTGATTTCTTTCTTAATTCTAATTTTAAGTGATTTTAAATCCTATAATGTAGTTTCTTAATTGGTTTGGTTGAAGTTAACTTCCACCAAACCAAAGAAGTTAACCATACGCAGAAAAAGCCAATCATGTTTACTATGGTCCTACTCTTGTTTGGTTGTCTTTTCTGTATTTTGGTTGTCATTTCTGTACATGTTTAATATAGCTTCTATTGTCTGGTTCAAGTTGCATGTACCGTCGCGATCAATAAGGAGAAGGCTCAAGAATATTGATCAAATTGTATTTATTTAATTGTGACCCACATAATTTGGACATGACATATTACTTGGTGGCTAAGTAAATAAATATTAATTAATTATTCTTGGTCAATTTATAATTACCTTTTTGGTAATTACTTATTAGAGAAGTATTTTCCTTCTAATTTCTTACTTTGATGGGAAGTAGTATTATGTTACTAAAAGAAAAATTGGTCATCTTTCTGCCTTTATAAAAGTACAAATACTCTATCAATTATCTACGATTATTGATACAATACGTAATAGTTTTACCTCAAAAATAAATCCAAATCACTCGATTTTCAAAAATTAGGATTCGGTTGAATTAAACAAATTTAATTATAATAAATATAGTTGGTTCGTGGTTAAAGAATCTGGACGTTTGGAGGTTTGATATCATAAATCGAGGTATGTATATTTAACTATATTTATTTATGCGTTGTAAGGATATGAAATTAATTGAAGTTTTAAGATCTATCAATTTATGATAATTTGTGATTAATGTTTAACACAAATTAATTAGGATTTTACACAAATTTGATCAAATTTGAAACTTACCATGCTAAAAATAAACTGATTTTACTACAACATTTCCGACATTGATTCACAATTTTTTTCTTTCTTTTTCTATTTTCTTATTGGAGATTAATAACCTAGTGGAAAATTTTGGCACGTTATAGAACATGCTTTTGTTTTACAACCTCTTCTATATGTTATATTTTATACAATATATTATACAGAATATATTATTATACAATTTAATTTTATCTTTTACTAAAATTAAAATAAAATTAAAATGCAAAATAATCTCATTTTAAAATAATTTAACAAAAATTAAAATATATATATAGAATATGTTACTCAAACAAAATTACAAGGAAGAACAAATCATATAACAGGTTATTACGGTTAGTATATCCCTACCTCAAAAATAAATCCAAATCACTCAATTTTCAAAAATTCTCTAAATCAAAAATTCCGAATCGTAATTGTGTAGGATTCAGGTGAATTAAACAAATTGATCAAATTTGAAAATGCCAATCATGTTTAATATGGTCCTACTATTGTTGTCTTTTCTGTATATTGTTCGGTTGTCTTTTCTGTACACGTTTAATATAGATTCTATTGTTTGGTTCAAGTTGCATGTACCGTCGCAATCAATAAAGGATAAGGCTCAAGAATATTGATCAAATTTGAAACTTACCATGTTAAAAATAAACTGATTTTACTACAACATTTCTGACATTGATTCACAATTTCTTTCTTTCTTTTTCTATTCTCTTATCGGAGATTAATAACCGAGTGGAAAAAATTGGCACGTTATAGAATATGCTTTTCTTTTACAAAGTATTCTATATCTTATATTTTATACAATATATTATACAGAATATATTATTATAGAATTTAACTTTATCTTTTACTAAAATTAAAAAAAAAAATTTTAAAACGTAAAATAATCTCACTTTAAAATAATTTAATCAAAATCAAAATATATATACAGAACATGTTACTCAAACAAAATTACAAGGAATAACAAATCATATAACGGGTTATTACGGTTAATATACCCTTACCTCAAAAATAAATCCAAGTCACTCTATTCTCAAAAATTCTCCAAATCGAAAATTTTGAATCGTAACTGCATAGAATTCGATTGAATTAAACAAATTTAATTCTTGCACCACAAACCAAATCTTACCCTCCTAGATTTAAATTCTAAAGAGAATGATTGAAAAAAAAAAAAAAAAAAAAAAAAAAGGTGTTAAAGGTTCTGTATTTTTTTATTCGAGCAATATTCCGTGTTCTTCCCCTTTTTATTCTCTCTCTCTCTCTCTCTCTCTCTCTCTCTCTCTCTCTTTTCTTTCCCCTTTTCCACCTCTCTCTTTACAGAGCAATGCTTGTATCCTACCCTATTAGGATAAGTTTTGTCCTCCACTCTGATGTAGCCCTATGAAAACTTGAAACCTGTCTCAATATTGTATAATATTAAAAAAAAGAAAAGCATTTGGATCAACCCCAAATGGGTTTTTTTGCTAAAGCTTTGGTCCAAACTCGGTGGCTCCGACGGGATCTCGTCGCCTACATCCCCACAATCATTGGTTGTAGAGGGTGGTGAAGGTGGGGTGTTGCTGAGATCAGACAAGATGAACCAGACAAGGATGGAGGCGGTTGAGAGCTCAACAGTGGAGAGGTCGGCGGTGAGCTTGCCGGTGAAAGACTCGGGTTTGGATGATGGTGGCCGTGATGGGCGCGGCTGACTGACAGTAGCGTTGACGAGCTGACTTCGGAAGGTCGCGAGGACGGCTCGGATGTGGAGAGCTCGGCCGTGAATAATTTGACCGCGCTGGCGATATATGGCAGACCGGCGAGGATGAAGACGGTAGTGGGCTTGTGGCGGTGCTTGGCAAGATTAAACGGCAATGGGTTTGCGGCGCGTCACCGGCGGGTAAGGAGAAACTCGACTATGGATGAACTACGGTTGACTTGTGGCAAAGTGGGCTGAAATAAGCCAGTGGAATGGAGGATTCAGAACGATGACCAGCAAAGATGAATGAGCTGGTTCGGCGAAGATGAAAAGACTGAAGGAGAGGTTTTCTAAAAAAATAAAAAATAAAAAAATACTGAAGGAGAAAGAAAATGAATTGTTATAATCCATTTTTATTTTTTGGACAGGTGTCAAGTTTTCATAGGGGCCACATCAGGGTAGAGGACAAAACTTATCAAGCATTGCTCCTCTTTATATATACAAAGATATGCGCCAAGGAAACCAATTTTGGGTCCATGAAGTGAAAGTTAATTCATTAAATAATAAATATATTATATAGTGTAGTTGTATGTATATATTAGAAGTTTGATAAATATGAATTTAACTCAAATGCCAAGTTAGTTTTTTTACCCCTCACTGAACCAATTCAGTGAGAGAGTAACTGGAGAAGATTTTCTTTCCGAGAAAAAGAATGCTTGTTTTAGTTTTCTTGTAACAATTCAGATTTTTAATAGTTGAAATTATATTTATTTTATAATTTTAAATTATCAAGATTGAATATTTTAATTTTAATTAGAGACTTTTCTAATTAGAGATTAGGTTATTGATTAATCACCCACTCGAAAGATGTTTGCAGGTTTAGCTTTGTATGCATTTGTATGTATATTATTTATTTATACAACAAATTGATGGAAGAAGGTGTTGGGATTTATATGCCCTGACATAGCAAATTTCTGTTTGGATTAAAGTGACATATGTTCCTAATGTTTCTGAAATATTTATATTTTGTACAATTAGTGAATTCAATATATTATGTTTCGATTCATTATAGAATTGATAGTATCCTCTTGATTACAAGAGATATTTATATATGTATGTGATGGCGATCAATACATGAATATAAATAGTAATCATAAATTGTTCATAGTCAGTAATTATAGATGGAATTATAATTAATTAAGACTTGAACTGGATCCACGTTAGGTTGAGAAATATTGCGAGAGCCGTCGTATGCAATTGCTCCCTATTACCGTCATGGCATTTGACTCTTAAGTATGAGAAAAGTATAGACTCTTTTATTAATTAATAATTACTTTAATTTGTTCGGCGGATTCTTCGGGATCCTTAGACCGACACTTTGGGTAGTTATGTAATTAATAGTTAGAGGGTTATATTTTCAATATTTGCATCATTGCTACTTGTATTTATTTTGTATTGATTATGGTTGATCACAAAGTAAATTCGAAGGTATTCGTGTGTTTTTAGACAAAATAATTTATTATATATTTATTTATTTAAATTATTATTTTTGTCAAACAAATGTTTTATTGTGATCGAGTCAGAAATAATCAAAGGTACCAAAATAAATATATTAATTAAGTAGTCGGATTGATGGCTTTTTTATCCGATAACTAATTATGCATAAAGGGGTCAAAGTGCAATATTGACTTAAAAGTAATTTATTATTTAATTGGATTTCTATTAATTTCTTTTAATGGAGTAGAAATTAATTTATGAATTAATTGAATTGGGTTCATGGACCAGGCTAATTAATAGTTCATTGTAGCCAATAAAATAATAGGCCCAATGGATTCTCACTAATAACCCAACTTGATATTGGAATCATATTAGCTTTGAGACATGTGAATTAGAGATTGAGAAGGATTTGTTGTTTCCTTTTATTTATCTTTATGTTGCCTATAAATATACATGGTCTATGTATATTTTAAGTGTGATTTTTAGTAGAAGGAAAAAGGAATATATTTTCTCTCTCTAGAAAATTAGTGTTTATGTTCTCATCTAATGAAGGCTCCCACAAGCCTAGTTTTCCAAGGTCATTCATGGAGGCTTATGAGTGATTCCTAAAGGCAAAACAATTACCAAGAAGATGGAGATCTAAAGAGAAGGCATCTTGCTAAGGGATCTACAATAAGTGAGAACATTCACTTTAAAGAAAAGATTTAAAGGTTTACTCAGACCTTTGATGTAAGTATTCAATCTGTTACTTGAATGGTACATCATATTTTATTTTTGCATAAAATTTGTCTCTATGTGATGAATTAAGATCTATGAATCAAAATCCCTCAAAAAGTTTTTAAAATTTGCACGTTTCCCAACAGTGGTATCAGAGCATGGTTTGATTCATTACTAGAGATCATGTTTTTATCAAAATTATTATCATGGATCCAAATTATATATATATATTGATGTATGATTTAATATATTGATACAT